GTGATTGCATTGATAACTCAAGTTGTTGTCATTGCTGGTTATTATTGTGGCTACGGTATCATTTTAGTTGCAAACTTTGGGACAAACAACAATTAGCTTAATTACTTATTATGACCAAAGTCAGCAGTTGATAGCTTGTGTAAACCAACTGTGGCTGTAGCCGACGGGGCAGGAGAGGGAAATTTTGTGTCATCTGGGCGCGCGCTTGTGGATTTGCATAGTAATTTGTGGGAATTATATTTATGGGATTATAAGCCAATGTATGTTATTTCAGCTGTTGCTCAAAATACTAGTTTTAGTCTCTCTAAAATTTAATCCAGCACACCTAATATCAACTTCAACTCTTATCAATGTCAAATTTTTACTACTGCCGACAGACCATCAGATTCCAAGGACATGTGAGTACACGAAGTCATTCCCTTGATAAAGAAGAATGGGAAAGTTTCCAAGTTTTTACTGAATATGTATGTATATATACACATATATGTTTTTTTGTTTTGTGCTTCCTTAAGCAATTTTCAGATCTGATATGCAAATGTCAAATGAGCTCGCTTTTGTCTGCCCGCATTTGCTCACATGACGTATGCGTGACAAGCGCAAAAAAACATTGAAAGCAAATACAACATAACAAAGCAATCGCAAAGAGAGTGTAGAGTGAGGCAAACAGAGGGAGAGAGAAACAAAAAGAGTCAGAGAAAGAGAGAAGGTTAAGAATTCGTTTTAACATATTTGAGCTGCGTTTTATTCATGAAGTCGAATACTATCTCACCATACAAAGTATTCGCACCCACAAAAGTAACAAAATCAACAGCAACGACAGACAGGCTGACATTTGAATTATTGGCAGCAACATAATACAAGATTTTGCCCGGAAAATCACAACCAGACACCTGTGCGGATACGCAATTTGCTGAACATGGAATGGAACATAAAAAACGCAAACGGATTCCTTTCACTTACTTTCCAAACGAAATTTATTATGACTAGCAAATAAAAAATTGCGAAAAATTAAGCCGCTTGTAAGCCGCAAATTAAGCCAGCAATTTGTTACTTATACCCTAATTAAGAATATTCTTGTGAGGAAATTAGTTTGTCAACGTTTAATTAAAGGCATTGTAAGACCGCTCATTTATTATGATAACTAACTAAGAATATTTTTATGATGACAATGCAATTGAATAATTCATGTTTTATTCAAAGCACTTTAAGACCCTTTATTAATTGGATACATTTTTCATTATATAGCTACAGCATTTACCAGATTCTAATTAAGTTCAAACACTTTATAGAATGGTCAATGAAACAAGGGTATTTCGTATTCGACACACTGAGATTAACTGAGTTTGGTTGAATTTTTGAAATTACCAACTCAAATTGCTATAATTCTGTTTTTGTTCATCCAGGCAGAGAAAGCCACACAAAGGACTAGTAAATACAGTCTGAAGGTTGTAGGCGGATGAGTGGAGTGTGTTGAGTCAACTGTCATTATGATTGTGCTGAAGACAGCTAGCGGAAATTTGTTAGGATATTAGCTGACAGAATGGCACAGTCTGTCACAATATTTGCAGCATGTAACTCTATTTGTATTTGTGTTTGCATTTGTATTTGTTTGTCGCTGTCTGTGTACTTTGTATATGTATGTTTATGTTGGTCCGTATGATGTATAGAAAAATGACCAAAGGCTAATAAACGTGCTGCAAGAGCCATCAAAATTCACCACTTACCCAACCTTATCCCATCCCATGCAATTTGTATTGCGCTCATCATCCAGCCATTTTTTGTAAAGGCCAACAATATATAATCACGTTAAACAGTAGGCAGCTGTTAAAGTTAAGGCCAAAAGTGCAGATTCAAGCAATTAAATTTGAGATACACATTTTGCCAGAGACTATATGGGGTTAAATTATGGGACCTCTCACTTGCATATTTAATGCCAATTTAAGTGCTTCGTAACGCTCCCCAACGCATCTCTAATGTGCCGTTCGCTGCAGCTGCAATTCAGTGGGGCACCCATATTTATTATTATCCTTCTTATCGTTGATGTTGTTAACTCTCGGGAGGCTATATCACATTCGGGGGTCCCTTGCATCCGACGCAAAAGTTGATGCTTGCTGGTTGTTGTTGTTGCTAAGAAAGTTGCGTAACAAACGTAAATAAAAACATTGCGTTTAATGGAGGTAGCATCTTAATATAAGTTAATTGCAGATACTTAAATGGTTAAGTGAACTTTACGCAACGAGTAAACAAGCTGCCAGCAAGCAGCAACATTTGGACTTGTCAATAATAAATACTCAACTTGGCTTTAGGCAAAGGCTATTTAAATTTGCATCTCTATAAATATACTATAATAATTTGTGTACTTTACTTTAAATTTTAGTTAATTCAAAATGTATACTATTCATATTATTTATTCAGGCTAAAGTGAAACTCTAAATTTTAAATAGTATAAACAGCTGAAAGCTGAAGTGCTTTGGGAAATCTTTTAAATTTGATTTGCTGTCAAGATTTTAATGCAAAATAATCAATAGTAAATCTTTTTACGGAAATCAACATCACATAACAATATTTCAATCTATCTATGCGTGATGGGTTCGCAGATGTTTTTTCTTTGCTTTCTGCCCCAACCTTATTACATATGCAAACCTTTTTTTAGGCTCTTCAGAAAATATTCAATTTTTAGTGCTATACTTATTCCGTCTCGCTGTCCCACTCTGCTTTCAGCTTCTTCTTAACGTTTTCATATCTGGCAATCTTTTAACAAACTTGTACTTCGTTCGCATTTAGCTTGTTTAAATCATCTGCCTTCGAAACCAATCATCAACTCAATCGGAAAAACTTACGCAAACTTCTTGCTTTTATTTGAATTGAGCGAATTTGCGCTCATTCACAATATTCATTGCACACTTTTTCGCCATTCACAGTTCACTTCCATATCTTGTTTGTTGGCCATTTAAAAAACAATTCAAAATAATGCCAATGGTGGCGTGTTGGTAAACAAAAGTGCCAAAGCAAATTTAACTTTTTGTTTACATAAAAATAAGTAAAATGCAAACTGGAATGGGCACGAACCAAATTGTTGTAAACAAAATCAAATCAATAATTGTAATCAATAGCATAAAATGCATATATATTTAAGTGCCCAGAAACTTGAAATGCTCGTCGAGCTCTTGCTCTGACCCTGGGAAAGTGATGCGTGTGTCAATGCATAAATCAAGTCTAGATGTCAGGTAATGCATTAGCAAAAACAAATACAGATACCGGAGATAAGTTTGGGTAGCTTCGGCTTACACCACACTTCAATTTGACTTGTCGGTACCATTTTTCATTGTTCTCCATTGACACAATAGCCAACGGCGAATGCTTACAGACTTATATGCTTTTATATTGCTGACATGTCTGGAAGCGCACTCGTAAATGAAATCTCTGCGACTTGTGACTTCCATGCACAGAGAGTAAGCTGGACACACATGAGTCACATTCAGCTGCCCCCCATTGACTTCTGTCATTGTCATTCATCCAACGGCTAGACTCTTCAGTTTCTATAGCTGTGTTATTTTTGCTGCTCTTGTGCATTCAAGGGTATGTGTATCAAAATGTGTCTCAATGTCTTTTTACTGCATAAGCTCATACATTACCTGATCTGATATCGATGACCAATATGGCTATTAAACAAATCAGCAACTTAGATTTGATGATTTAATTCGTGCACAAATCATAGCATACATTTGAGCGCCGCCAGCTAGAGCAGTTGCTGCTCTCTTCATTAATCATTTAATTTGTCGTCCAATTACATACACACACACAAATGCACACTAGTTCTGTTTGTGTGTGCTTGTAATTAATACGCTCTCATAAATATACGTCGACGGCTTTAAGAGTTTTATGTTGTTAGTGTGATATATCTGCGCATGTTAGGAATTTAATTAGCGTTTGCCATAAAAGTGGCAATTAATTGCCTCATATTAGTCGAGTTAAATATGCTACTTAATAATTATCATATGTAAGATCAAAAGGTTAAACAGCTATTTAATTTTAATTTAGCTTTTAATGCCAGACTTTAATGGCCTAAGAGTGGCAAAAGTAGTCCAATGAAAATATATTTTATATATTTTTTTGTCATCTGTTATGTGCTGCTTAAATTCTTAATAAGAACTTTTATATAAACTCAACAAACTAATATTGTTTTTCTTATGTATCTTATAATAAACATATAAATTAAAATGGAAATGCAAAAAAAAGATTGAATGATTTGCCCAAATGCATATATTGACTAGCTGTGTCTTTTATAAAATTTGCATACTAAAACATGAAACAATTTGAAGCTAAAACTGCCAGTTAAGCAGAACTTAGTCGACGTTGCATATTATAAGAGTCTTTCAGTAGCAGTTGTGGTACTTGCACACCATGCAACGTGTTAATTGCAATACCTCATTCTCTCTGTGCTGGTGACACTCCCAACTACGCTGTCTGCTAAGTGGCGTTGCGCAGTTCCGCAAATGCAATTAAAATCGGTGGGTGCCGAGAATGTTGCAGCAGCAACGAGTGTAAAGCAAAGCGCACGACAAATAACAAATATTTCATGCTAAGGCTAAGGGAAAGACTGGTGATACAGATGCACGGAGAGATAGATACAATTTATCTGCGTGAGTTGCTGGAACAAATTTAATTTAACACAAGGATAAAAGCGATCTCCATCAGATATATCTGGATTGATGTGGGTCAGCTGCTGCTATTCCTTTATGATGAGCTGTAATAATTCAGTTGCGCTGCAGCGGTAATTAAGTTGCAACACGGCATGTTCAGACTGCGATTTTGTACCATTTTACGACTTAGTTGGCTTTGGGCAGGGATAAGGCGCATGATAAATTATACAAATGCTAGCCACATGCAACTTTCATTATTTACACACAATGCTTAGCGTTATCTCATTTGTCCTTACTCACGTTCCTTCATGTTTCTTTCGTTATATTCTATTTGCAGCACTCGGAAAAATATATCTATTCACAATATTAAATTATTAATGCGCCGGCGGGCAGCGGATTCGATGCATATGCCGCCGCTGCTGTCCTTGACAGTCGTGGCTGCACTGACTGACGACCGTCAACAACAACAACAACTGCAACAACAACAACAATAGAGTGTCAACAACAGTAGTGCAAGCAAAAACAATGCCTGGGGGCAGCAATGATACAACGCCGCTCTACTGCGGCACGGGCATGGATAATTTTCATACGAGGTAAGTAAGCAATGCCACGGTCATACCCCAAGGACAGCCTGACAACAGACTGGAGACAACAATGACTGTAAAGCTTTGGTTTTTGTGTGACATCAAAAATCCATTAATGTTTTTTATTTTTTTGTATATATATAATATATATATACAAATTTGTTGTTTTTTTTTTTTTGAGTACCTTTATATTTTTTATTTGCCACTTAAAATACAATTTTTCGCATTGTCAACTATTGAATTGATTTTAAGGTCATATTTGTCATTTTTATGACTGAACTGCAGCATCTATAAAAATTATACACACTTCAAATATAAATAAAAACGAACGCAGTTTTCTATTTATCGCATACTTCGCACACGTCGAACGAAAATTTAAATCGATGGTAAAAACAAATGGAAACAATCTAAGCAAATTTGAGAATTGATGCTGCACCAGCAACAAATATGATTTCTTTTGATTTTAGGAAATAAAGGACTAATGTAATTATATATCTTGGGTTAAGATAATTCTTAAGCAAGACAAACATATTTAAGAAACAAATGTTAATCTGATGTGTTTAGTGCATAGATATTATGATGTGATAAGTGCCTTAATAAAATTTAATAACCAAATAACCTTTTATTTGCCGTAAACAAAAAAGCATTAAAACCAAATAAGCTCATTTAAGAGCCATAAAAAAGCGCACATATATTTTTTTTGATTTACGCAGGATATTTGGAAATCTATCTAAGATTGGGTAACAATTTGGATTTAACAGTCTCGGTTGATGCTTACCATACATAGTAGACATTAATAAAAAAAAATACTCTGTACGTTTTCTCACCGTGCCTACATAGCAAACAATTGGCTGCAATGCCAATAAAGACTGTAAGCTTGCAGCCTTTGCCTACTTACAACAACAGAAAAGCATTTTATGGCCATTTTGATTAGTTTGCAGCAAAATTATTGCCGCATTTTAACGGCCAAGCTTGGTGCCTGAAACTTTTTCTTTAGGCAACTGTAGCATTAGAATGTAGCATTCAATTTGGTTTTGGCCCCCAAGAGACTTTTATTTTAGGATTCGAACTAGTAGGATGTTTCTGGTGTGTCTTTATCTTGTGGGTTTGTCGTTGTTCAACAAATTAGACTTAAAGTAGAGTGTGCAGCACTCAAGCTCAAGTTAAGTGTGTGTATCTCAGCCAGAGGCTTCTCCTAAACCACCCACACACAGCATACTGAATGCTCTAGCATGCTAAAATAAGCAAATATATTACACAGAAGTGTTTGCTTTTACTGGCGTGTTACTGAGTTTGTGTTTATACTTCAGCTTTTAGCTAGAAAAAAAGAAGTACAGAAAAGGCAAACTCAAATTTCCAGCAAAAAATATTTAGAAATTGTTATCTGAACATATTTGTTTTCTCATATTCCCATGCAAGCATTGTTATAATTGAGAATAATATATCTTTTTCCTTCCTCTTCTACAATAAAAAGCATCAGCTCAATTTGGGTTATTTTTTGGATTATTTTTTGATTTTCTTTACCTGAGAACTACTAACAGTAAACTACACCCAAGCAGTGATTTTGTTGAGCGTCTGTAAAAGTATGTCAATAACGGATAAATATGCACAAATGTGCTAGCTGGGAGCTCTCACAGAAATTGAGATTTGTTTAGCACACACATCTTCATTTATGCAAAGCCAATTGCTCGGATAGCACTTACACGTTTGAATAGTACACACGAGGCTAGTGAGTGACAGTTACACTATTTTAGAAGGCTCTAAGCACATGCATATGTAGAATTGCCACGACTCACTTGGAGACGACGGCAAGTATCAATGTAGACAACAACTCAGTGCGTATGTCGTATGTGAGTCTATGTTGCCATTCATCAACATGGATTACCAAATGCAATAAATTAAAGAAAGCAACGTATTTTCATTAAGCGGCATCAAGATCAAGCATTCGGCTAGGCAACCAAATAATAGCACATGCAATGCGTTAAAGACATTTGCGTGGGCATGCCCCGAACGAGTATGATGAATGGTTGGCTGTAAAATTCAGAGCCAAGAAAAAAGCCGTCTAACTTTGCTGGTATTGCTGGGAGGCAGGATACCACCTGCCTGGCCATATCCTGTGCAATTGTGTTCTTCTGTTGTTGTTTCCAAATGAGAAACGCAATGTAGCATAATAGCACTCAATTTCAGGCTGCGACAGTGGGCCCAAAACTAGTTAAAACCCATTAGAAAAAGTGCCGCTGCGACAAGCTGTCCATCAAAATTGAAGCCTTTTTCTATTTTTCTTTTCTTGTCGCTGCTCATGTAACATATAATTTATTATTATATTTTTTTCTTGTCATTTTCTATTGCTCTTTTCGGAGGCGTTCTGGGAAAAACGTCGCGACGCATTTGGAAAATAAAATGTATTTTCATTGTCAGGAGAAAAAAAAAGACGAGCTCCCAAAATGAACATGATTATTATTCATGTTAATTGCTTGTTTTGTATGTATGTCAAAGTTTACCTTCAACCTTGCCATGAATATAACGCATACGTCGTGTCGTCATGACAGTCGAAGCCAATTTAAAGGTTGACTCGCCAAAAAGGGTTGTACTGGATTCTTATTTTGTCCATCTGTCTGTCCATATGTCCCAGTTGCCGTTTGCCCGTCTGCGTCTTTTGTATGACTGTTGACACATTGGCGTTAGAATTTTTTTCTATTGTATGTGTCGCACTCGAGTGGTGCTTTGAACGACTTACTGTAAGTCTGAGGGTGTCTGGCTGGGGCGTGACAGCGTCAAGTTTCGCTGTTGTGGCAGTCACCAGCAATTTAGCACGTAGCACTTCTTTGACATACAAAGTAAATGGCCAAGTGTTAGATACACATCTAATTGCTGATGCAGACAGACAGTCCTTAATTTAACCACACATCCACCTACACATTCCAATGGATTGTCAAACCAGAACAGCATCTTGACGGCCCGCATTTAGTGAACATCACCCTTTACCACCAGCTTTAGCCAATTAAAGTGTGTGCTACACCATTTCTGCTTAATATACTTAAAGATTACTTGGACTGTACTCTGAAGTACATTCTTATATACAAATTAATTATTTATCAATACATAACATCCAGAGGAAAAGGCGCCTCTTGAATTAGCTATTAGCTTGTAAGTGTCTTGTTGCATGTACTTTATTTATAAATTAATAACCAGCATTAACCTAGAGCGAGCTTTCAGCTCAGTTCATTGTAAAAACTAGTACTTATTGATGCCTTGACATACTTATTAAACTGTCAATATAGATTTATAGCTTAATATTACCATTATTGAAATTATAAAAGTACTGCAATAAATACATTAATTGTTTCATTTGTCTCCTTACAGTTATAGGAATATGCATGGCTATGTTTCGCTGGTGGTTTGCATACTGGGCACCATCGCCAATACACTGAACATAATTGTTTTAACACGCCGCGAGATGCGTTCACCCACCAATGCCATCCTCACAGGTCTCGCGGTGGCAGATCTGGCCGTGATGTTGGAATATATACCATACACGGTGCACGATTATATACTGAAGGATAGCCTGCCCAGGGAGCAAAAGTTGAGCTATAGTTGGGCCTGCTTCATCAAGTTCCACTCGATTTTTGCCCAGGTGCTGCACACCATATCCATCTGGCTGACAATTACGCTGGCTGTGTGGCGTTATATTGCCGTGGGTTATCCGCAAAAGAATCGACTGTGGTGCGGCATGCGCACCACTATAATAACCATAACGACAGCGTATGTGGTTTGTGTACTTGTGGTTTCACCATCGCTTTATCTGATCACAGCAATTGCGGAATGGATGGATCAGCTGGATGCCCAAGGCAAGATGATAAATAGCATACCAATGAGTCAATATGTTATTGACTACAGGAACGAAATGCAGACTGTGATGGTGGCTGCTCTGAACGCCACACCCACTAGCCCCATGTCCAATGATACTCAATGGTTAAATATGACTGCATCTAGTCCTAGTCCCAGTCCTAGTCCTAGTCCTAGTCCAAGTCCTACTCCTAGTCCTATATCCGTACCTGTGGTGGTGCGCAATGTGACCGTCTATCGACTCTATCACAGCGATCTGGCGTTGCATAATACCTCCCTGCTGAATGCCACGTTTCTAATATACAGTGTGGTTATCAAACTGATACCTTGTATTGCATTGACAATACTCTCGGTGCGTCTCATCCTGGCGCTGTTAGAGGCAAAGCGCCGAAGAAAGAAGCTGACCACCAAACCGGGGAATAGCAATGGCGCCAAGTCTGTTGTCAATGGCAAACCGTCAGAGCGACCACGTAAGAATAGTAAAACACTGGAGAAGGAGAAGCAAACAGATCGCACCACTCGAATGTTATTGGCGGTGCTGTTGCTCTTTCTTATCACGGAATTTCCACAGGGAATTATGGGACTGCTGAACACTGTGCTGGGCAATGCATTTCTCATGCAATGCTATTTCAAACTGAGTAAGTATGATTTCGACACTCGCAGAGTACAAATTATACGAGTGTGGCTCCTTTAGCTGATTGTTTGATTTTCAACCGCTTAGGTGACCTTATGGATGTGCTGGCTTTAATCAACTCGAGCATTAATTTTATACTATACTGTTCTATGAGTAAACAATTTCGCAGCACATTTACGCTGCTGTTTCGACCCAAGTTTCTCGACAAGTGGATGCCGGTGGCACAAGACGAACTGACTGCCACACGGGTGGATGGATTACAGCGGTCAGTGGTGGCAGCGACGCCTGACAACTGCCATCAAACGATGACACACAAGCAGCCGCAAGTGGTGACACTTGCTGCTGCCAGCACCGTGACAAATAACACCACCCAAGTGACAAATCTGTAGCAACAGCAGAAGCAGCAATCGCGTTGCTTATCAAAACCGCCAATTGAGCTCATTCTCAGCCGGGAGGATGTTGGTAGCCTGAAGCGTAGCTCGATTGTGGCAGTTGTGGACGAGGGCAGCGGAACTGTGGATCATTGCTTGTTTGTGGCCGGAACATTGCCCATTAGCAGTTCCAATTCCAGTTCGACGTAGGTTGAAGTTGTGATGTAAGTTTCAGCTAATGAATATGTAAATGTTTTGTGGTCCAAAACGACAGTTTAAGGTTGATAAGAATTTTTTTGGTGGTGCGCACAATAAACTTCTGCATACATTAGAATGTTTTGCATAACATACATATAAATAAAATGAAAGCGCTCCTACGCACCATTGGTTTCGCTGCAGTGCAATGTATAAAAAAGGCGCCATGTCGCTCTCGCCAGATGCAAATCAAGCTGAATGACTACGCATATACGATTTAATTTGAATTCTATGAGAATGTGTATTTTGCGCAAAAAAAAAACAAAAACTACGAATTTTTTACAAAAGGAGCAACTATTCAACGTTGTCATTGTGTGTATATATTTTCAGTTTTTCAATAATAATAATAATAATAATAAATACAATTTAAAATACACAAATATGAATTTGTACAGATTATTTGTTTATATTGATTCCAAAATGCAGTGACTGTGAATTAATTGGATGATATGATTTGCACATAGTTTTACATAATAAAATGACTTAGTACAGCTTTTTGTACTTAAGAGATTAGCTTTTGCTATAATTAAAAATAATTAAAGCATTTTATTTGTTGAAATCGAGCGATTTTATTTAAAGCATCGACTGTTTATAATAATACTTATGTAAGTGATAAGCGAAGGCTGCATAAAACTGTTCTATATGCATAATAAACTATAATGATGGAAGTGTTTGCGAATGAGCCCCAGCAAATATTTTCAATCGTTTATAATAGAAACAATATAATCCATAATTTAAACTTATGACAAAAGTATTTAAATTCCAAAAAAAATAAACTGAGCATTCGATTTGAAATGCAGCCCATTTTAAATGTTTCATAATTAGAATTTAATAACTCTATTAAAATAAACAAATCTTAGACAAGTCACCAACGCAAAATTTAACCGATAAAACTAAATGTAATTCAATTGAAATATTGTCATTTAGCTCGATATATATACGAAGAAAGTCGTTGTTTGTTATAATAGCTGTAATTCGTTTAAAACACATATTCTAATGAATTTATTTGTATAAATTGTATAATAAGTCCTTTACAAACAAATATATAAATATACATTTGGTTTATGTACGGCTTATTATTATTAATATGTAATAAATAAATCGAATTACCAAGAAAAAAGTTAAATTTCCTTAAATATTACATATTTAAAATATGCTTTAGTGTTTTATTTACGACTAAACTTATATATATATATAATTTTCCAACCACTTAACAAGTTTTTCAATCATTTTAAGTAAGTAAGTAAGCAATTTATCGATAAAGCCAGGTCTCAGCGGGATTGCCTCAAAACGAAATTATTGAGAATTCCGAAACTTGAAAGCATACATGATAATAAAGTTAAATTATCATTTGGCCTAGGAAACAGCTCGCTAGGGAGTGTTTATTGCATACTTAAATGAAGTGATGTAAAGTTAAAATGAAAAACCAAAGCTTTTAGTCGTTTTCTTCAAAATATATAAAGAGTATTATCTTGATAAAGTGCGGAGAATTTTCGTCCAACCTTATGCTTTACAAGTAGCTTATGGCTTTAAGTAATTAATGAATTAGACTAATTTCGTAGCTTGGAAATTCACTTTTTGGCTGCTTATTTATTATCTCAATTTTATGTTGCTCATTTTTAAATTTTATTTCTACTAAATTCTAATTATAACTTTTGGAATCTTCCCATGCTCCCATGCAATGGCGTAATAAATGACATTGTTTTGACAGTTGAAATTTCTTCCACATTTTCAATAACAACCGCGACAGCCGGTAATTGTAATATCATAAAATTGAGTCAGGTAATCAAATGCTGCAGCGCACAAGCCAGATCCTCTTAGCTAGTCAAAGGGAACTGAAACTTTCTTACTCATAAATTTTAAAGCAGCTCAAAAGATTACAAGATAATTATTGAAATATGTTGCGAAGAATTTAACAAAAATAGCTATCCTTTTTTTGCCAAATTTGGTCCTAAAAATATTAATATTGAATGTGAAGTGGGCACAAAGCATTTTTTTTTAGAAAAATAACCCAAAAAACTATTGAATGTGAGCACAAAGCAGTTTTATTTTTATTAAAACATCATTTGACTAAATGCTTCTATCGAGCTTGTAATTATGATTGCTCGCTTATCTTTTTATTAGGCATAAGTACTGTCAGCCTTTGTGTGTTTAGTGAAAACTTTTCATATGAAATTGATTGAAAAACTTTCGCCAGGCAGTCAGCCAAACAAATTGCTACTGAGCTGGAACTCACTCATGCGCCGTCAAGTGCAGCTGCGAACAGCATTAATGCCTTAGCTCAGCACAAAAAGGACATCAACAATATGTGTAGAGGCAAACGCGCCCAACCCCCCACACCTACACCAAAGCCCGCTACTCACATCCGGCGGAGAGCTGGAATGCGTTACCTGCGTTGTACGTGCTGCAGAGCCTAAATTTCGGTGCCTGACTCTTAATGCCAACTGACGGCTGCCTCTTACACCCTTTGCATATTAGATTTAACTACAATTAGCAGACAACTGCAGATGGAGAGCAACTGGCTCCTCTCATATCTTTAAGATCCCTTTTGGGATGCCCATCACACACATCTCGAAATGAGCTTTATGGCCTGCTGGGTTTGCTTGGCATTACTTACATTCATCTAGTCATCATTTGCGTAATTCTTGTTTGCGCTTTAAAACCATTTGCAACAAGTTTTCACAGTCATACCATGCTGCATGCCGCAGTTATCAAAACATAATAAATTCTTGGCCCTGCCCGTTTCCTTTTTGCTTGTTTGCCACTGCGCGTTTAGTCAGGTCCTCTCGGAGTGCCTTTCCGCTGCTGCCAAGCTGTCGTTGCCGCATCTAATGAGCCTCATTAGCGTAATTACTAGATGTCTGTAATAACTGGAAAAACAACCTAGCCATTTGATTACATGATGCATATGTGGGCGTATATGTGTGTGCGTGGCTCCAAACTTAACAATGCAGCAGACTGCACAAAATATCATGGATGTGAACACAAGTGCAATTTGCAGCCAAAATACGAAACTGCTTATTGCCAGATTTAATTATGTAAATAAAATGATAATTAGATAGTTTGCTGTGCGTGTGGTTGATTAAATTTGCATGATTCAATTAAATTACTTTTGGAAATGCAGGCAGATAATATTTAATAAATATATTTACATATTGATTTTTGAAACTCGTATATTTGAGGTAAATATATATTTAATTTCTACTCGTTGCTCTATATTAGTTTGATTATTTGTGGAATCAGTTTGTTTTTTTCTGCAGTAATCCCGTCAATTTTCTATGAGCTGCAGAGTCGGCCACATTCAATAGCAGGCCTGAAAGTGAACAATATTTCAGAATTACTTTGAATTTGAAATGGAATATATATTTCAGTTAGTTTGAGTTCTGCAAATTAAAACCAATGGAGTGAAATGAACTGCTATTAAAGAACTATAACAAACACAGAGCAATTAAGCTAATAGCCTGATCAGATTGTCTAAGCTGGTGCTGCTTTTGCTGCTACTTATAAAATATATATATTTGTATCGATATAATATAATATATATATGGATATATTTTCATATATGTGTGGTTGTTTAATGTATATGTATTTAATGCAGTCTACTTAAGTGAAACCAAAAGCCTGAAGAAAACATGTCTACAAATAATTGCTTTCTTGACCAGAACACACATTTCATTTGAGACGCCTGGTTGCCTGCTTTTCCATGTAGCTGTCAATTGTCAGAACAGTTGGTTGGTTGCAGCTTTCAGGATTGGGTGAATCCAAGTGTCGCCTTACGTGCCTTAAGCCATGCGCATTAATTTCGTCGTTAAAAGCAAAAACCTCAGAGATATATACATTTTTTTTGTTTGCTTGATTGCACCTCAATTGTAAAGTACTTAAGTTAAATACGTTTTTGAGTGTGCTCGCTCAGTTAGTTCTGCATGGAACTATATTGTTAAGTCTTGCTTATTTCTTAGATATTACATTTAATACAAACATTTTAGGTCGAAATATTTGTAATTATTCAAATTTATATGGCGAGCCTTTGATTTTTAACTGTTTATTATTTTAAAATCTTACTCTATAAATGTAATTTTATATAGAGCATTCATAGTACATCTAGCTTACAAATAAAATTTCTTTTCATGCCTTAGCTCATTTTTTTTTTAAACACGGTCAATGCCTTAGGCCTCAACGCTTGGTTTAACTAAATAGGATTTCATTACCTGAAAAGTACCAAAAAAAAGGAAAATGTCGAAATTTATTGAAACATGGCAGCTTTATAAGTTGTTTGATGTTAATAATTAAGAAAACCAGGCCCAAAAGGGCGTGACAAACGCTTGCTTTGTGTTAAAAAAAAAAAAACTGGCTATAAGCATGTTAAGCTGAAATGCCACATTTTGGTTATTTCAGCTATTTTTTCGACAAGTCGGAAATGTAACAACGAAAATTAGTCAAAATGACAAGTATCAAGTCCCGAAATGATTTTGATAATTAGTCCCTACAAGCCCACAAAAATTGCGTTTCCAACCAAGAATTTCGTACAAATATGAAGGTCTGATGAGTTTAACAGAGCTATGCCCATTTAACTTATTTTAATCCTTACAAACACTATGTGTACATGAATCTCTTTCAATGTAGAATTAAAATAGATGGATCAAAGCATGATTAAAACGAGCTCGTTTCTTAAAATCGGCTGACTTTTGAAAGAGTTTCGACGTTGCATGTACCATTAATCTACTGATCGAACCATGACTAAGGAACCCTGGTTTTTTTTAAATATTATACATTCTGCCAGAGTTGTGGAATGTGCGAAATTTGGACACGTCCCAGGTTGTCTTCTAGTCGACTCGCTCGCCTAATTTACTCTGACATGCTTTTATAATTCATTTGGGAGACACAGCATGTCAGAGCTTATACATGGTGTGCGAAATTAAATATTTATTAATGCAATTCTCCACAAATTATTTTAGCTGTTTATTTAATTTTCGTCATCTGTCTCAGGCAAAAAAGCATTTATTAAAAGTGTTTAAATATGTATGTATAATAAGAAACATGTAACACAAAGTATCGGAGATTGTGAACCTTAACTCAGTTGATTTATTGATAATGGTTTGTCCCTGAAAAGAGGTTAAATGCGAAGAATAGCAGGTGGAAAAAGTAAAAATACATAAACAGTTAACAGCCTTACAGATTTTGTCTATACTGTGTGCAAATACCAGAATGAAAACTACACAAACAGGAAATTAAGGAAATTGCAAAAAAATCCATTAATATTTTCTATTTTAAATTGTGTTTGGCAAACGGGGCAACAACAAATTAGATCAAC